CTTTTCAATTTGCAACAAAACTCTACAGCGAAGTACTGACTCACGTGGTGCCCACGGTATCTATACAAAACAAACTATGTTGTGCGAGTCAATACGATGATGCTGTTAACCTCAGTTAACCAATTCCGTTCTTTCTTCGTCATAACTCTATCCAACGCTATAATGCCATGTAACAACAGATCAACGTGAGATAACAAAAAATAATTTGGAGTTTTTCTTTACGAAAATAGTAAAAAATGCCAATGCGTACGCAAATAAAAAGAAAAACTCATCAAAATGTGAGTCAACCAACTTAGTTTCTAGTTAGGGCCTAAACATTATGTACTAAACCATGCTTTGTAACAGATTGTCCTTTGCTACAGTAGAATGAGTCAAACGACATTACTAGTTATAGAAAATATTTTAAAATGTGTCAAATCAAATAGAGAAAACGTTCAAAACGTAAACCAATCTATTTTAAACTTTGAGTGCCTCCATTTTGTAGCTACATGTATAATTTAATACTAAACATTGTGCAACTGGGTAGCTGAGCGGTCATAGTGTTTACAGGTTAGATTCTAGATGTTCAGGATCACTGGGCTTTAATAAATGATCTTGACTGTCAAAAACCAAGATCATCTGACTTGCTCCACATTCATATTCAGTTATAAAGAATGCAAGTGTGATTCTCTTTGTTAAATAACTGTTGAATCAATGTGTTTTCTCTCACCTGAGAACTTTGCAGTCCTGGGACAAAGCTATTAGAATAGAGTATATATGTATAAATAAATGTTATTGTCCCAAAATTTTTACTTTATACAACCAGCTATCTTAGTGTTAAATTTCAGCTCATTCGTACATTAGTTTTTCGTTATGGAAACCCAACAGACGCTCGTCCTAATTTTTAAACCTAATTTAACATAATTTTTATGGTTTATGTTACGGCACATTTATAGTTTTAACATAGATTATTTAGTCTCCAAAATGTTCTGGTGCCTAAACATAATCGTATCGTTCAGACTTAGGCAATTTGAATTTTAAAAATCAGTTACAAGTTTGAAATACCGTAGTCCAAAATATACATTTGATAGACTAGTTCTAATTTTACACTTTTCTATTATAGATATCATTTACTGGTAAATATTTTGTGGGCTCGATCACCTCTCCACTTATCGAGTCTTGGATGAAAAAGAACAGCCAAAAGGTTTAACGAAACCAACAATAATTGACCAATGAGGTAATCCGATTGTTTTAACCATGGGCAGGATCGGCGATTTTTCAACCTTTCACACTAACTATGTCACTCGAAGGGAGTGGCAACTAACGACCTTCACGCCTTCAGATCCACCTACCATTCAAGTCTCTGGCCCTCCTTGTATTCTGATGTGGTAAACGTCGTCAACAATCAATATTACTTCTAAAGGCTGTCTCATGTTAAGTTGGGGCAGACTACCTGACCAGAGAGGGTAGAGAAGAACAATGGCTAGGCCGGTCCTTCGACGGACCCTCCCGGCTCTCGGAGTAAATCCCATTAACCACGCTTCAACGAATACTTCACATAACAGCGTAAATATATTGATTAATTGAAAATATAATCAATTCGTCATATCTAAAAATAATGTATTCTAGGTTATAAAAAAACAAAATTTTGCATGTTTGTACCATGCTAATCGGCCGACTTTAAGTATTAAAACAAACTTTTACTCTTATAACTAAGTACAATATTTAATTTTAAATTACTAACAATTGATATTCTGTATTATAGCCTACTTCGTTCATAATATTTAGGTGATTTTAGGGGAAGAAATCTATCACCTCCACTTGACCCTTACCTTTAAAAATAAGCATTCGAAACGCCGTTAATGAGTGGAAACCTCTATTGTTATCAAAACTGGAGTAGGATGCAACTTGATACACACTGATTCTCCGGTTCCCGACATAGATGGTGGCTAGATTTTTTTATTTAATTAACAATTACATATTGCCCTTGCGATTAATCAAACCCATTATTTAAGCCACACGGTTATTAATCTCACTTCTTTAACGTATAAAATGTAAAAATAACAAAAAAATATATATAATTTTGAACAATCTAAGACAAAGCTCTCATTTAATTTACATTGTATTACATCTATTAATACAGACTTATAAATTAATTTTGTACTACAAGAGACAAATTAGCAGTTTGTTTTAATACTTCAAGTCGGCCGATTTGAATGGGACGAACATGAAACATTTTGTTTTTTTATAACCTAGTATACATTATTTTCAGATATGATGAATTTATTATATTTTCAATTAATCAATATATTTACGCTTTTAAGTGAAGTATTCAGTGAAGCGTGGTTAATGGGATTTACTCCAAGGGTCGGGACGGTCCGTCGAAGGTTCGGTCTAGCCATTGTCCTGCTATACCCTCTGGTCAGGTAGTCTGCCTCAACTTAACATGAGACAGCCTTTTTCATCTATGGCGAATAAACAAACTTCCTTATCTAACAAACTTCCCAGTAAGCTATTGCCGAAGATCTCATGGTAGGATTTAGACCTGGCGACCCGGGCCCGCTTTACTTTTCAATTTAGTGTCCTCAGAGGCCAAAACACCTGTAAGAAACGCGGTTTTGGGCTTCTGGTGACCTTGGCTAATTGCTAAAAAATTCTGGGATTTATGATTTTCGTTAACTTTGGGGTATGTAAAAACATACAACCGCTATAATGCAAAAAATACGTGGTTAACATAATTAATTATTTGCTACATACTATAGTGGGAATAAAATCAATCATGGCCCATCAGCACTGAAACAAAAGATACGACTATTACTGGCACAAGCTATTTCAACTTAGAACTCGCTCGGAAGCTACATAATTGAAAATATTGTTTTGGTTCCCTGGTTTTGTATTACCGTACACAATTACCGTATCCTTCCAATCTCGAAAGGGATCTGTATTGATTGATACATCTGTCCTGTAGCTAAAGAAAGCTTGGTTTATGACCCACTATATTGGTATAAATTTGATTTAACAAAAACTTTGATACCTTCATGCGAGAAAGCTATGCAGAACCAGTTTGAACCCAACTGTAATACATTCTTTAAAGACTACAATAGGCCTACATATAACTTGTTTTGTTTGTAACCTCAGTACAGATTCATTTGTACATTATTACATTAAAATTAGTAACAAAATGTAATTATCATATTTAACAACATGGATATTGTATAAGGTTTTTTTTAATTCTTTAAACAATTAAAAAACAATCAATAACTGATTTTAATGGTATTTACCCTTGTTGCTAGTGTAGTTCTGATTCTTATTCAAGAGTACTTGTCATATCCTCCCCTCCAATACTGGTCCAATACTGGTCCAATACAAGTTGGTGTGTGGCAACGTCGCACCGTCCGTACTATTGCCATAGTAAGTGTTACAAACATAAACATCGCGGGGAATAGGGATGCTCCTGTGAATTAGAGCAACAGCTGTTTCGATAGGCCTGGGCTGCAGTGTTGCCACTTTTGTCTCACCGCGGCCTTGTATTAGAGGTGGATATTGTACACTGTTCTTTAGTTCATGACATAGATATTATATCTAGCTACAGATTAAGTGTTTGACAGTCAATATGATTGATTTATGAACAAATTGATAAACTTCTCTTTGTTTAAAACCTCGAATTTGAAAGTCGTACATATCTGGGGGTTGTGTAAGCTACAAAGCCATCGATTGTTTGGTGAGTCAAGATTTGGAATACAATAGAGGCTATTCATATTTATGACGTGAACACACAAGTAAATCACTTTTACTGTCGACTGTTTTAGGGTCTTTGGTTACAGAAACGCAACAAAACAGTAAAAGTTCAAAGCTCTGCCTTTTCTTCATTGTTATTGTTGTATTGTTAAAGACTGAGTCAAATAGGCATTCAAGGTTACACACCATCCTATGCTTATTATTGCAACAATTGTTTACATAATGTTTTTATGACGAATGACAAAAAGGCAGAGGTTTAAAATCACTGGATATATGGAAGAGTATGTCTTGAAAACTGAAAATGCGCTCAGAAATGTTGCCCGAAACAAATGTATCATCTACATTATATTCATTATATTTTTTAAAGAAGGGGTTCTGGGTTTTGTGTGTTTGTTCCAGACAATTTATGTCCTTAACCCCCTGAAGATGTCAAAGTCCAAAGTTTCGAGGCAGAACTTTTGGGGGTAAAATGATTGGCCTCCTTGAAAAAATACAATGTTTGCATTTACACTATGTACATTTTACTTTGCATTTTCACACAGTGTTTATTTTTGATAATTTACGCAATTTAAATTTTTCCAAACCCTGGTCTTGTCGTCTTGTTACTATCGAATTTGAGTCAACCTTTTTTGATAGTATTTATTATTAGCCAAACGACAAATGACTTATAAGTCCAGAATTGACCACCATTGGAATTGAATCAGTTAATTTAACTATAGAAAATTGTATAAAAATAGATCGTCCAGTTATTTTTCATTCTTATTTTAAATGGTGTGCATATTACTGCTTTCTACAGTATGTAGAAGATAATGATGTGATTAAATGAAGTTATTAATTATTTCTTTATTCACTATACAACTGCCAACTGGTTCGAACAGACATTTTAAAAGTATGACTCAAATTGGTTTCTATAATCAATGAAGTTTGTTAAAAGTGGGTAACTTACAACGGTTTCTTACAGAAGATTTAATAAACCACATTATTATTATGGGTATTCATTATGTTGTTAAGCAGGGGTAAGCCACTTTGTTGCTAAATTGGTTTTTGTTTGCTTGTGTACTTTTGTACAACAATACATTTTTCCAACCATTGTTGTGAATGGATTTTACTTATGCCATCATATAACATAGTAAATGAATGATTTTATTTCAATTTAAGCTCTGTTTGTCAACTAAAATTTACAAAATAACATGTAGCTTGTTGAAAACTTGTTTTAGGATGAAAAGTGTGTCTCTTTTGTTTAACGCTTGATTAAAGTGTGTGTTATTTATTTTTCAGGATAAAGATGAACAAACGAGATTGGAAATGAAGCACAGAAAAGAAGAGGACGATTTATACAGGAAATTCGCAAGACAAAGAGAAGAAGAAGACAAAAGAATGAAGGAAGAGTTCAGGGTAAGACTAATCCAATCCAGTTAAAATATTCATCTATAATGGAAGAACCTATTGTACGATTGTACCTAACCTCATTCTAAATAGATCTTGTTGAACTAAGTACACCAAAGGTGTGAGATATTAAATTAAAGGATATATTATTTACACTATTTAATATATATATGATTAAACCTGAAATAATAGTTCATTAATAACCAGTTTATGCTTTTATTTTTACTTAAATACAAACACAAATAGTTTTTTTTTATTTTTGTAAACTTTCCAAATTTGCAAGTATAAAATTATTACCTTCTGTAGCATATTCTGAAATTTTACCATCACAAGGTACACTACCAGTAAATTACAGATTAAACATGCTCTCTCATTCTTTTGGTTTAACTGAATCCAATTTTATTAAGGTTTGTTTGTCTTTGAGGGCTTCTGCAGAGGGTGTCTTCTTGTTACCTTTTGTATTTATACTGTAGTACCAAAGGAGCGTTTGATAGTTAAAGCGATGAAAAACCAGATGCACTTATGATTTACAAATTATTTAATTACAAACAATAAATATTTAATTTGTAAAATAATAAAAACTCAAATATGCAATGAAACGTAATTGAACTAAGCATATTCCATTATACTCTAGATAAAGTAGTACTCGTAGGCCTCCAGCATATTCCTCACCTCCAGTCATTGTAAACCATTAAAAATTTTTGTTGAAAGCTCACCGAACACGAGATTAAAAATATACAATACTCTAAACCACATAAAATTGGTTTTGAAATGTTCTCTTTAAATTTCAATTACGTAACCCAAAGCCCCAAAGTCATCAGATGGTGTCAGTATTTTTGGTGATCACAATTAATTATAATATACTACCCCCTCATTCTAAAAAAAAGTGAGCTTCTGCTCTTTTGTTTTTTTTCTGCACAGTATTTCTTTGACTGAAAATCCTGATATAATTGAATCTATATACGTTACATGTTTCATTTGCGCCCACTAATTTGATAGAACGCCTGGGCGTAGAAACTTGGTAGAGGTGTCTAAGAAAGGTCTTGGTCTGTAGATGAGCAAGTAAAAGAGAAACAAGGTAAAATTCCTTGGGGCTCTGCCCCAGCGGCCTTTAAAAAAATGGCTACATCTAGTCTGTATGGGATGTCTACTTCAGTTCTTCAATAGTCCATGGTTCAATCCTGTTTATCTTGCTTCGTTTACACAGGACGAGTGGGAGAAGGAACTGGAGAGACTGACAGATCGTTTCGAGAGAGAATTACAGACAAAGAGGAAACAGTCGGACGCCAAAGTGTTGACATTGAGGTTGCAACAAGAACGGTTAGATCTGGAGAAGAACATGACCATCCGAAGAGACAAGAAAAAGGAATCGCTGACGAGGAAGCTGCTGGAGCATGAGAGGTAAAGACTATTGAATCTTTGAAAAATCTCTTTTTGAGTTCTGGTTTTCTTACAAGGCGCAAATTAGATTACCTTTTACTTCGTGTGCAATAATTAGACAAACGCACAAAAGTTTGGCTTCTATACAGTGTAAAAAACTGAACATAAGGCCCTCTTAATTCCATGCGATGTACACACTACACTCTAATTTTAGTTGGCTACAATCTCTACAACAACATTGTATAGAAATACCTAATTCCCATGCCTCTGCGGTGCACCGCAAAACAATTGTTCTCTTTTCTTCTTGTCTACAACTGTGATTGTAATTTGCACGGTGGTTTCGGCACCGGAAACGCTGGTAATCAGCTGTGAGTCTGCATCTGCAATGCACCGGAAGTAAAATATTGGCGACAATTGTTGTTTCAAGTTATAATTGTTTGCTCGGTCACAGATGCGTTTGACTCGTGCTCACCTGGAAGTGAGTGCACTCATTGTTGTAACATTATGATGTTTAATTGATCGAAGATTAATGCGTCTCATTGTTGTTATAACTTGGTTAGTTGCTAGTTGCGATGTGGAATTTTTCTTTCTATGATTTTATTAAATTACTATTAGTTTTCTTATTCAATTTATTCTTAATTTTACCTGAAGAATCGTTTACAAAACTTTTTCTTAAGAAAGGTGTTGTTGTACAAGTGTATACTATAGTCTATTTCTTAATCAGTCCCTTCCTCTTATCCCATTGCTAACTGTAGGAGGTTTCTTCTACAGTACTGAATAGTGGATTTACTGAACAATTTAAAAAACTCAGTCAAGTTAGGTAGTAACATTGAACGTACATATATAGAAAAGTTTGTTAAGCCAAATAAATGTTATATTATTTTTCAAAGTACTGCCTTTATTTTTTAGTTTTGTTTGGTTTAATTTAATTTAAAGAGAATTTGATAACATCAAAGACAATCTCTAAACAAATATTCTCTAGAGAGAGAGAGAGGAAGAGAGGTTTCAGACCAATCAGCTCTATTCAACTCCTTACTTGAGACAGACAGCATATGTAGATGTATCTAAATATACATATGAGATGAGTGTATAACTGATCGGATTTGTTTATCATTGTTACTGAATGAGATCAGCTGCTTTTTCTAGTCAAGATAATAATATATTAGTACCGGAGGACCGTTCCTTGCTAGGTTGTGATTAATGAGGTGAGGTTTGGATGTTAAAAGAACTACCCTCTGACCACGGATCAGTTTGGACACACGTCGTGTGCATTCATGACACTTCAATTGGTTTTAATCGTGAAAATCCAAAATCCGCTGACATGGTGACTCTTAGAAGTTTGAGAAATTGCAGTGCGCTGACGTTCTTCCAAACTTCGAGCAGCAATTCGTCGACACTCCTGCTCAAGATGATCGGCCTGTTGTTCATTATTTTGGACGGCCATAAGATTATTATTTCTCTCTTTTTGCTCTTCGATGCGCGACTTGGCCGAGGTTTTGAGAATTTGGTGAGATGTGTGAACTGGTTGGAACTGGCTCGGTTGTAGACGTCAGACGAGGAAATTTGTTTCCTGAGGATCGATTGTAGCTTCTTTACCTTTTGGATTATTTATATTTGCCTCGGAGGTCTTCCGCGTTTCATTCATTATCTTGTAAATTAACCTTGAAAACATTTAACAGTAATATGTATGTATAAGTGAATATAACTATTCTCTGAAACGTTTAGTCTAAACTAACCAATACAGTTGTTTTTGTTTACACCTAAATCAAAATGATGACAGTTTAAATAATCTGTATCAGCTGTTTTTGTAAACTTCAGCTACAAAGGTATTCACGATAACATGGGCACTTTGAAGGGCTGTAGGACAGAAACTGGATTTTCCCAGCCTTGTGACCAACTCCAATCGATTTCTCGTGGCAAAATACCCCATATGTAAGAAAAAAATTAAAAATCCTCGGACAGAAAAAAAGGTTTGTCCGTACATGCGCTTGTTGTAGATTATAGGATTACTTAATTTCATCACTAGGATGTAAGATTACTTATCACAAGCTAGTTTAATGACCATTGCAAGCTGATTTTGACCCAATCATGTTTGATGCAGGGCAGCGACAGCGGCACTCGTAGAGAAACAGTCTCGTGAGATGTTGGAGCTCATCAATGAGAAGCGTAGTGAGTACATGATGGCGGAGTCCCTGTACCTGGACGAAGGGGAAGGGTACGCGGAGGAATCTCTGATGCCGTACCCTAGTCAAGCCCCCCTGCCAGCGCCCCCCCTCGTCAGTAAGTTCCAGATATACAACGATCCCTTGGAGTTCGCACACATCGACCAGATTGCCATCTCGGTGAGTTTCAAAATTGTACATAATTTAAGTCCTCTCTTCCTTTGTACCTTCTATGTGGGTAATCGAAAGTGTATTCAAGTCATGTGTCATTGAAAACGGATGGTTTTGGTGTGCACACTATGTAAAAAAGTAGTCTATAAAACCTTTGGTATTGCAATGCACAAAACTAAATAGAATGTAAATAAAGAATGGTTTGATTGATCTGAAAAAAATAACTCATTTTACTGAATACTACCAAATTGTTGTGTTCCGAAGTTAACACACTGACTACCGATTGTCCTCAGCCCTGTGATAAACCGGAGTGTGACAGCTGGTATTAAAAAAGTTTATTGATTTTTCAAAAGATAAAAAATAAAAGTGTAAACGCTATATTGTACTATTAACATTAAAACCAATCAATATCAAAATACCAATCAATCAGTATTAAAACCTTTTTGTTTTATAGGTAGCACAAGAAGATCAGAAGACGTTTACAGATCTAGTCCGCCAACTTGTAGGAAGATGTGGTTCCGACATAGAGAAAGCAAGGTATTTTGCTTACAATACGATAAGCATCAGTAGTGGCAATAAGAACTCCACAGACCCCAAAAGATGAAACCCTCTCGGGTTTAGAAAAATTGTAACAAATTGGAATTAGGATTGTATGTGAACATTTTTGTTCACAGTAATTTGTCTGCATGTTGTTATTGGTACCAGTTGACCAATTGTAACCAATTGTTGACCAATGCCAGCTACCAAAAAGCTGAAAATATTCATGCCAATATCAAAACTGTTGTTTACATTGGCTGAGTCTCAGTCTCAGTTCAACGACTGAGGATGCCACATATTAGTATGGGAGAAACGTCTAGTATTGTAAATAGTGTAAATACTAATTTAACGTGATAAGATTAGCGGCTTAAGCATTCCATGTGCTTGAAAAGCACATCAGTATGTTAAAACAACACTGTGCCTTTTCTTATGTTTTGTTTTCTATTTGGACTATCTAAAGAACGCCATAAAAACAAATTTTATTAAGGCCTTATAAATGTTTTTTTGGGAATACAGTTGACTCCCTCTTATCCGGACTCCTTGGGACCGAGGCCAGTCCGGATAACGGTTTTTACGGTTAAACTGACGTCCCAAAAAGTTCGTTAAAACGGACCGTTTAAATGCATACTGGGACAGTATTTGACTTAAATTTTGGAAAACAGTGTTTTTAGACACGTGATCGATGGTCTCAAAAACCTTTTCCACGAGAAAATTTGTTTCAGTACCGCCCACTTCCTGCCGATCTAGTCCGGTTAAACCGATGTGCTGATAAAGAGATGTCACTTCTACTGAGTCTAGTCCGGTTAAAACGATGTCCGGTTAAAAGGTGTCCGAAAAGAGGGAGTCTACTGTACAATGTGTTGCTCAAACAATGTATTAAAGTGGAGGTAAAAATTTCAAAATGGGCTACAAATCTATTTGTAGTTTTTTAAGCATAGTGAGTGGTACATTGTAACATTACTAGTCCCTACTTCTCACATATTCAAATTATCAATACAATCTTAAAACGGCTTGATAAAATGTTTTTTCCCTCAGAACAATATTCCGATGGATAACAGTCAAGAACCTGAACACGATGACGTTTGATGACAATCTACGAGGAGACACGCCAATGGGACTCTTGCGAGGGATCAAACATGGAACAGAGAGTTATCATGTTCTCTTCAAACGCCTTTGCAGGTTTGTACATTTTTCTGTAATATTTTTCTGTAATTTTTAATATGGGTTGGATCCTATTTCATTTTTATCTCTTAAAAATCCATTGCTGTGGCCGCATCTATCTAACTGTAAGTCAATGCCAATGACTTATGTCAAGTCAAGCGACACTAAATTCAGTTCGAGTTAAATTTTTGTATGTTTACTTAAATTTTTTGGTAAAAATAATGTGTTAAGAAAATATCAGAATAATTAACCACACTTCTGATTCATATGTATATACCTTAGCTATTACTTTTGGGTACTGAAGAAGACATAGCCTAATTATTTTGAACCAGCTGCATCCAATGTTTCAAATAGACACAGTTGAATGAGCCCCTCTCACAGAGTAGGTATTCTATTGTCAAAATTCGTTTCCCTCCTTAGATTTCTAAGCTATGATAGAACAATGCTACTGGCATAGTTCACAATAAGCTATCCTTTTATTTTGGCCTGATTAAAAGGCTGGTGTATACAGTGGGAATCAGTAATTATAATCTGCACACTCTGTGTGCCACAATTAGTGGCTCGATTTAACTGTGTGCTTTGATTCTAAAACGGTCTACAACTTTAACAAAAGGGTGGAATGTCTACTTTTATCATAGTCGAAGTACATGGCTAAGAATACAGAATTTTTATTGGGTTTTGAATTTTCTTAAGGATATCCGATCTATATGACCAGCTGTAGCCAATAAAATAAACGGTATCAGCATTCTGACACATACTTTCTCCCATAAGTTTGTCAACAACCTTTATCATGTGTAAGCGGTGAGAGTAAATATACGGAAATGGGATTTATTCAATTTTGTTCACAATTTAAAGGACTACATACTAAATTTTTATCAAAATCTTTTGGGCCATTTTTGTGAAAATCGGATTTTTCCGTTATTTTATGGGGTTTTATGGGAAAATAACATAATTTACAATAACTTTTGAACCATAATTTTTACAGAAATGGGATTTGTACCATTTTGTTCAGAATATAAAGGACTATATAACATACCAAATTTTTATCAAAATCGTTCGGGCCGTTTTTGGGAAATTCCTATTTTTCCGTTATTTTATGGGGTTTTATGGGAAAATACCCATTAAAAATAAAAAAATTTAAAAAATGAAAAAACTATCAAACTTTTAAGGATCATAACATACTATGTTAAAATAAAACCGGATTTTTTTCTAAAATCCTATTTTTCGTTATTTTATGGGGTTTTTATGGGAAAATAACATAATTTACCATAACTTTTGAACCGTAATTTTTACAGAAATGGGATTTGTACCATTTTGTTCAGAATTTAAAGGGCTACAACATACTACATTTTTATCAAAATCGCTCGGGCCATTTTCGAGAAAATCCGATTTTTCCGGTTTTTTATGGGAAAATCCCCATTAAAAATCAAAATTTCAAAAAAATGAAAAAAACGCCTGGAGATACTATGGATTAGAACCTACATACCAAGTTTCATCGAAATCGGACCACAGGTGTAGTCCCTAGCTCTGTACACATCCAGACACACAGACACACAGACACACAGACACACAGACACACAGACACACACACACACACACACACAGACATCACTTTGAAAACCACTTTTTTGGGTCCAGGGGGACCCAAAACGGATATATCCACTCAAAACTCAAACTCGAAAATTTTGACGAAAACAATACTTTCTCCATATACCATGGTATAGGGGGAGAAAGTAAAAATAAAAAAAAAACTAGCTAATTGCACCTGTAACATTAGGTGCTACTGCCAAAATATTAGTACCGACAATGTTAATATAATCTCTTTTGAGCTGAATTTAGCATTTTTCAAGCAGTCAACTCAATGGTGATATAAATGGTGAGTTAGTTAATTTGTTTCTCTCATGTTTCAGCTATGCAGGATTACACTGTGTGGTTATCAAAGGTTACTCCAAGTCAGCCGGTTACCAGCCGGGCGTAAGGTTTGAGGACAACCGGTTCCGTAACTCATGGAACGCTGTGTACGTCGCTGGCGCTTGGAGATTTGTCCAATGCAATTGGGGCGCCAGGCATCTAGTCAATGCTAAGGAAGTGCCTAAATCAGGCGGAAAAGGGGGAAAATCTGATAGTTTGAGGTAATTTGGAAATTTTATGTTTTTTGTATTAAATGTGGTATATTACGTAATATCCCATAATCAGAACTGTTTGAGCATTTTTGATTTGATAGTTTAGTTTGTGTAACGGGCAGTCGGAATGGTAATAATTTTCCGGTTCAAGTTAGTGAACGGTGAAAAGTTTATCGTAGCAAAATACTATGCCTCGTCCTACATCCAGGAGTTAGGTGTTGTTTAGTCTACACTCTGCCCTCTCGGCTCTGGGGTCTCACAGCCCAGTCAATGTAATGCAGCTGTACATTCCCCTTCCTGTCAGTGTAATTATATTTTCATTAACCTTGGCCTTATTCAGTATAGCTTTGTTAGAAATTGTTATACGTAGGTTAAATTTTAGTCATGTATTTATTTTGCCTGCCCCTTAAGCATAGAAAGTAAAATAAATTTTGACTGATTTGAAGATTTTTGTTATTTATTAAAATGTTACAACTGCACAGTATTTAAATTTGTTTATAAACTAAATACATGCTTATGTTGTTATAAGTTATAATTCGTATTTCTATGCTGCAATATAAATTATTAAATTTTGTATTCTCTTTAGTGGCAATAAAAAAGATTGAATTCGGTTTTGGTATTGTTTTTGTAAGAATTGAAAATTCGTTTATAAGGTTTAAGTCTTGATTTTTAATGTTGTAGAAAAGAAAGCCCTTATTGAAAAGGGGAAGAGTTCAGCTAGCTTACATTAAGATTAGAGTCCAGGGGCTAGTAAGTACATTTTAGGGAATTTTGTTATGAATTCAGCGTCGACATCTTCCCTACCTTATCACACTTAAATAGTTAACCTCAAACCCTGTCTTTGAAATTCACTCATGAATTATTCAACACTTCTTATCTGACACTCAGAAATTTCTCTTCTAGGTATGAATACGATGACCACTATTTCTTAACAGATCCTAGAGAATTCATCTACGAGTTTTTTCCTCTTCAGTCGGAATGGCAGTTGCTGAAGAACCCAATCACTCTGCAGGAATTTGAAGAACTTCCGTTTGTGAGGTCGCTGTTTTTCCGTTACGGACTTTACTTTCCCGACACCCACACCAAAGCTGTAATGTTCACCGACGCTACAGGTAAGATTATAAACAAAGTTACTAAAAACTTTTACTTGTTGTGAAATATTTTTTTAATTAATTGGTGCTGAATTAGTCCTTTAATATAACTGAGTTTTTAAAGTGCTCTCTTTGTAATACCAAAGAAACTTATACGATCTGAGGAAAAGCTCAAAGCAATTTTTCATGGTTACAAACATCAGACTCTACTCATTACGGTCATTGGGCTTGAAAAACACAATTCTTACTTATCAACAACTACAACAACTACTACAATTATTTTAAAGAACTTTCTGATCTCTGTCACTAACAAGCATAATATCATTCTGTGTTAAGTAGTGCACTGTTTTTTCAGGCGCAGCAACTGTACGGATTGCGATGCCCACAAATATGCAGTCCAGTCTGATATTCCACTATAACCTCAAGTTTTACGACAGTGACGGAGACAGTTACGATGGTGTTAGCCTAAAAAGATTTGTGATGCAGGTAAAGTTTACGTTTATATCTTATTTAAGTAATTTTTCTTAACACGTTCGCGGCGGCATGGGAGCGATCGCTCCCATACGGAACCCTAATGCCATCCTGGTGGGTGCGATCGCTCCCAAGCTGCAATGCAGTACGAAATGATTTTATTTTTAAGCCAGGATTAGAGCTAGAAATCCCCGTAAAATCCCCGTCTGGCAATCTCAAAAATCTACTTTTTGTCCCGTCTTTTTCCCTCCATTTGGCAATACAATTCCAATGGGACCGGCTACCTTCCAAGCAGTGCTGCTATCTGTGGGTGTTTAGCGAACTACGTCAACTCTCGTTGTAAAGCAGGACATCCTCGCACGTTATTTGCTATTCGTCAGACTGAAATTGGAAAGCCAATCACACGCAGTAATCGGGTTTGTTTGGCGCTGAGGGCTGCGCCGCACTGGGGATACGCCCGCCATTTGACGTGCCGCCGCGAACGTGATAATACAGTATCTTAACTGTGCAGACCTGTATTTTAGACCTCAAGTTAAAAAAAAATAATAAAAAAACGGAACATGGCCAAAAAACCTGGTTTTTATCAACAAATTAATATCAACATCTTAGAAGGTATGATTTCAAATATGTTTTGTCACACCATCTGTTTGTTTAATAGATAATATCAATCGATAAGTTTTAAACGTAAAGTAAAACTTTTTTTAAAGCATAACTTTATGACACTACTTACTGTACTGTACCATCCATGTGCACTTTAAATTGTAGCCCATGTCAATTCCATAAGATTAAAAAAGTAATTAAAATTAAGTAAAAACAATTTTCAAAGAGAAACCATTGGCCTTGAAATTACAATCATGACCCTTACTCTTTTGCAGTCTGTGGTTGGAAACATTGTGGCGTTCCGTGTGCACGCGCCCAGTAGTGGTGCGTTCCTGTTGGACATCTTCGCCAACGCAGTCACGCCCAAAGAATACCTCACAGGTGAACCGATGAAGTTCAAGAGTGTTTGCAAGTTCAAGATAGCTTGCGAGGAGTTACAAACTGTGATGGTTCCATTACCGGATTGCGCCAGTGGAGAGTGGGGTCCGACTAAAGCAACCAGACTGTTCGGACTTATACCAATTACGCACCAGGTGAGTCCAGAGATAGGTTCCGCCTTTACATAGATGAAATCATGGGAAGAATTACCAGCGGAGCATGGTGGGGCAATGGCTCCTCAAAATATTTTCATAAATATTAAGTTTTTCGCTTAACCTTTGGAAATAATATTTTCTAAAAAACACTACTGTACAATAAAACTTAAAGGTTGGTTTTATTGGCTTTATGAAGAAACGTGTATGGTGTTACACATATTTCGTATTCTGTTCATACATCTTGTATGTAGTAGAATAACTGTTCCCTGCATGACTGTGTATGGCAATGGAATGATAACGCACTGATGATCTATGTTTCCCACCCCCATTCTCATCATACCGTCACATTGAAGGAAACAACAAGCAACTACAGTGTGATGTGTCCTTTGATTTATTTTGCATAATTTGTTGGTTTAATCTATGATTGTAGCTGTTGCTTTGATGAAAAATATGAGATTAATTTAATTTAATTAATTAGATACTTTTATAAGTACCTACTTCAAACAATTAAGTATTTTCTTTGTTCATTGTTAAATACAGTATTGCAATAACTTGATTCAACAATTATGGTATGAATTATTGAGAATTTATATTTATAGGGAAAAATATTTTCAAAGTCCAAAATGAAAGCTAAAGTGATGCTTATCTAATGATTTAAAAAAAAATGTCTCCCACCAAATATTCTACAATTTTGCATATTTCATTTTGTAAAAAAACTAAACAAAAAGCTATTCATGCCTCGTAGCAGAAAAGGTGTTTATTTATTTGATGAGCTCTGAGAAAAACATTTATGTGATTTGCTTGTAATTTATCATTACAAGTTATTTGAATTGATTTAAATTTCACTTAACACATGTGAACATCGATTTTTTTGTTTACTTCTTTTGTTTTGGGCTTTAAATTACTCTGACTTTACTTAAGTCACTCTTACTTCACTCAAGCCATGTTTTTCCTAACAACTTACAAATTTTCAGGACGCACTGGTGTTTGCTGGTAGAGAGCTGGAGCTCCAGTTCCGAATGTCCCGCCCGCTCACTGACTTCATGGCGACGCTTCACAAGAACGGAGTGGAAGAGAAGAGGCTGTCAAAGTTTGTGTCTCACGTTGTTTCAGACGACGATATTGTTACCTTCTTCATAACATTCCCCGAGGAAGGACAGTACGGATTGGACATCTACACCAGAGAAATGGGTGGTGGGAGTTCGGAAGCAACGGGGGAAAAACACCTGCTCACTCATTGTTGCAAATACCTCATCAACAGCTCAAAAAGAAACTAATCTTTTAATCTCTGCGGCATTGTTGATGATGTCGCAGTGGAAAAGTGTATAAGTCCCATGGCTAATAAGTTTAACCCTTGACTAACAACTCTTTTATTCCCAAGAGAAATTGTCAAAAGTGTTGGCGACAAAAACAAATTGTTGTGCTTGTTGTATTTGACGATTTTGTGAAGCAAATAATGTAGAAGTGTTTCTGTATTATTACCAATTTTAATTTTACAGAGGGATCTTATTTTCGTAACTGTGTCCGAACTTGGGGTATTAAAGCAGTTACTTGAGTTTTTGTAATTTGTGAATTAGTAATTTTTTTATACAAAATTTGATTTTGGCCAAATGGTGTTATTCAGAATTGAAAGCAGGGGGTAAAGACTCTTAGGTATTAATTCAAGTTTTAATTTAAATAACTGTCAAGATAACTTAACAAATTCAATTTCTTATTCTTTGTTAAAAATGTGTTATTTCCTGAATCCTAGATCTCCTCTAGTGATTTGAACTATCTTTAATATCTTTATAATACTTAATAGTGGCTGATTTTAGTTGATGACCGTGGTAACTTATCATATATTTTATGTTTGAGTAACATGTTGAAATTCTATAGTTATTTTAAATTTTATAAGTTACCACTTGTTCTGTTATCACAATTTGTTTGAGAAGTTTAGGTCAATAAAACAACTTGAATAATTATTTTGGTGATTATTTGTTATATGTTTAATTTGAAATATATTTTAAGTGATTTTTTATCAAAGAATGTTTTACATAACAGATAATATTGTAACAGGTTTATATTTCAATAAATAAAGAGTAGATTAATCAACTACAATTATTTAATGTATTTGTATTTGACTATAGTACTATGTTTCAAATTTCTGTACATTTGAGTGCATGGATTACCCCAAAGCTATTGTTAGGAGAACTTAATTATTTAAGATGTGTTAATAGTGTAACTAATGCTGTATATAGAAAAATAAATCGATCATAATATATTGTAATTTTCCCAAGCAATATTGAAATATACAAGCAGATTTTTCTTAAACCCTAATTATTGAACATTTTGAAATAGTACGTTTGTAAGTTTGTCACTTGACAATAAAAGTTTAGTTGTAGAAAATAGGATGTATTGAGAGTTAACGGTACAATAATAATCAGTTAATGTTAAAACAATTTGTAAATAATAATAATACATATTAAGAAAAGAAACAAAAGATATTTATAGAAAACATAGGTTTTTTAGCTACTGTTATTTATCTGCTTGTATATCATACATTTGCTTTTATTTATATATTTTGTACATTATGAACAAAGGGCAAAGCATTTTAATGCTGCCAGTGATCAGTAAAAAAAAACTACTTCTTGATGATTGACAACGAATAAATATTTAAACTGTGCCTAAAACATTCAGTCTTAACTAATCCATTTAATCAGTCTAACTTAAAATAACCTAGAGTTTGGAGCAAAATAATTAATAATCCTACCAAAGTTCACAGAATAGTTTCAAGCTGCAAGGTTTCAATAAAAATATTGTATAGTCAGTTTCACTATGAGACATACCTTAAAAAAAGATTAATAAACTCCTCACCACTGACTTTGCATAGGCTACTTAAATATCAATGGATTGGTGGAAACCTTTAATTTTATAGGTATTTTGAGCTATTTATTTAATTTATCACTCAATTAAGCACAGTGCATTCAGTTTCAAGAACAACCTATGTACACTAGCACGATTTATTGTACAAATAAATAGTCATATTGTAATGTTTTTATTCAATAACCTTGTTTTGCCCTTGACCTGCATGTATTAGGATAGTTTCATCATTGACTTATGGATACTATCAAAGGGTTGATCCTCCAGTGAGTTAGTTGAAGGTGGCTGTGATTAGTAACTTAAGGAAGTATTTACTTGCATTGCAAGTCCTTCAAGTAAATGAGTAGTTACTCACAAGAAATAAAATAAAAAAATCACAAAAAATTCACAAGAGGTTACTTGGTAGGGATAAATACTTGCTAGTAAGTTATATACTTGCGAATCTGGAATATCTTTTATGCTTATAAAATATTATAATTGCATACCAATAAAGGTGATATTTTTCTGACTGTTGATACCCGCTACACTTTGATCTGCCTGACGGGCTACCATCAGCATTCCATTCGTTAGCGCTCACACTGTTTAGCAGTGTCTGCATTTAGAGTCTGGGGAGTAGGTTTTGTCTAGTGGTCGTAGACTGTAACCTATTTAAGTGTATGAACTTTTTTCTCAAGATGCAGTAGAATCAAACGTTTGAAAACATTACGAGCACAACCAAAAACGCACAAACAAGACATCCCAATTAAACCAATAGTCAATTTTCGACAAGCCCCTACTTACAATTTATGTAAATACTAGCAGAGTACCCGTTCTTCATACGGGGTTGGCTTATAAGTATAAAATGCTTATTGTAGTTATACTCTAGCCTCTAGCTTTGCGTTTGCAATGAAAGAGGATTACAGATATAGTATAGTATATACAGTATAATATTACACATCTACCATAGCCATTCTGTTCAACCCCATGCACCTGAACAATATAAAAAAAGTTAATTATCAAACATGCACACAATATCACAAATTATGTATTAAATTAAACACATAAACATTACCGTAAAAATCTTACTTTGACAGTTCTTTCAAATGTCTTTCTTCTATTGTACTACAGCTTTTTGATGCTGCTTACCTACTTCAAATTAGCTGTTATCACATGGAAAACTATAATTATGAAGTGTTGCACCCTGTTGGTAAACTTTATAACTTTTTAATGCTATTGAATATCATAGAATAACTTTATTGGTCAAATCAGCTGACAAAATTATTTAATTCCTTTTAAATGTGAATACCCATAACATTGGAAACTGCAGAGCCACTGGGGCAGCCTGAAAGGAGTTTTGAGATAACAATATGCCTATATGTTAATCGGGAATGTGAGCTACATCATCCCAAATTTCAGCCCAATCCAGTATTTTTCGTGTTTACTTGTCACAAACATACATAAATCCATCCATCCAAACTTTCTCATTTATAATATTAGTAGGATTTACACAGTAAAATAAAACACAATATAAATTTGAACAACACTGTCAATGTATCTAATACATATGAATTAATAGACAAAATTAAAGATATTAATATACCACAGAATTCATTGTGTCTTTCATTTGTTGTACATGACATGTATACAAGCATACCTAAAGATGAAAACAAACCATTGAGATACTCGAACAACAATTAATTGACCATGGAACACTAACAAGACCTCAAATTAATGACGTAATCAAACTAACAAAAGTTACACTAAACCAAAATTATTTTCAATACAACAATTCATTTTAAACTCTAAATTTTAAGTTAGCTTAACGTATGACTATATTTATTCCTTTCATTATTTTTGTTACTGTATTTGTATAAAATGTAAACATGACTATGACCTAAGTGTTGAAACATAGTTTATGTTTTTGATTATTAATATATATATACAGGGTGTTTGTGAACTCTCTCGAAAAAATTCACAGGATTATTCCTTGGGTTAATACATGAATATTTTACATTATAAACATGGGTCGCCGGAGCCTCGTTTTCTGTCTGTCTGTCTGTATGTATTTTTTATAAATAACTTTATAACTCGAGTTTGAATCGAGGTACAAACTATAAATTTGACACACTTGTGTATTTTAACGTGTTACACAAACATGCAAAATTTCATTTCGTTGACTATAGCCGTTTCAAAATGGCGGCCATCTAAAATCTTTGACCTCAAATTACATGAAAACCACTTGAGTTACAAAAAAAGCACAAGAATAGCGAAATTTAGGAAATTTTATGCCAAATCAAATGACACCTAGATCATAAAGATCGGACAACAAACAGCTGAGTTATAAACTTTTTAAATAATTAATAATTTCTTTACTGGCTTTTAATTGTTATTGTTTATTCTTTAAAATTATCTGATACAGAGTACATTATTTAACCTTAAACATATCTCAATAGTTAAGGTTAAAATAGGACACTTAATACATTTACCATCTAGTAAAAAAACTAAATGTTGTTGTTAGGGCAAACCAGCTGTCTTACATTGTTGTAACAATTTAGAAAGGATCAGATGATTTTAAAGAATAAACAATAACAATTAAAAGCCAGTAAAGAAATGATTAATTATTTAAAAAGTTTATAACTCAGCTGTTTGTTGTCCGATCTTTCAGATCTAGGTGTCATTTGATTTGGCATAAAATTTCCCACATTTTGTTATTCTTGTGTTTTTTTGTAACTCTAGTGGTTTTCATGTAATTTGAGGTCAAAGATGTTAAATGGCCGCCATGTTGAAATAGTCAACGAAATGAAATTTTGCATGTTTGTGTACCACGTTAAAATACACAAGTGTGTCAAATTTAAAGTTTTTACCTCGATTCAAACTCGAGTTATAAGTTTATTTATAAAAAACACATACAGACAGACATACGGAAAACGAGGCTCCGGCGACCCATGTTTATAATGTAAAATATTCATGTATTAACCCAAGGAATAATCTTTTGAATTTTTTCGAGAGAGTTCACAAACACCCTGTATATAGAGGATAAAAACGGTTAAATATGACATTGGCTATTAAGTTATAAAGCTTTAGAAATGGCCAAAACTACGAATCCAACCAACCTCTTTCTCTACTGAAGGGTACAGAGTATTCTCGAATCCTGGTAGAGCTTTTAGCTTTTACCATAGATAAAACATACTCCTCAAGTATGTTTTATCTATGCTTTTAGTTTTACTGATGGATGCCACTAAAGTAGTGTAGTGTATTGGGGGTTGTTTTGGATACCACCTTTATACCACCCAACTGACTCCAGATGCCAATTGCCAAGAAACCTTGCTATGCCACAGGAATTAATCACATGAATAGGCGAATAATTAATATTGGCCTGCTGAATGGTAGTGATGAAATAAATGATTTAGTAATATTGATGTACAACTGAATCGGGAGGTATAACAAGTGTCTAAATCCACCCAAATATCAATTGACTTTATCGTTATTTAGTTATATCGACATCATATCGACTCTTTAGAAATAATATGTTGATATTAGGAAGCTATCAATCTATAGTTTGTATCACAATTTACTGTATTTATTTATTTATTTTCCCCAACGGATTGCACCTTTTTACAAAATATGTATGTACAATATGAGATGGCATTTGCAATAGTACTAACTAGAAAAGTAATAACAATGGTAATAACAAAGTGATAATAAATAGTAATAGCAAGTAATAACAAATAGTGATAACAATAGTAATAACAAACTATAACATAACTTAATGACAATTTATTTCATTTTCCATGATATTACTGGCACAACTTTGCTAATTAACATTGTTGTATATGTGACAATTTTTCTTCACTAGTACTAAAATCATTGAATAAAATAAATTCGCATATTATTGCTTCATTCCTGTGAAAAGAGAAGAAGTAAAAGTAATGGTGCTAAAATGAAAACAAAAACTCAACACGAGGGCATACCTTGCCGTCTGAACCAACATAACCTTAAACTTTTTTGACAAGCTAGCCTATCTTTTCGTACAATAACTTTGTCAAATTTTGAATTATTGTTCTTTAGTTGTTAAAATGAAACGTAAATTGGCCAATAGCGAACATGTAAAAAGTGGAGAAAGTAAGAATTTACAAGGACCATCTAATCCCAGTGAAAATGCAAAATATACAGAGGAGGTAAGAAGATTTTTGTTAACTAAAGCAGACGTTAGGCCTATATTGGTCAAACATTTACAAGCATTGACATGTCAAAATATTAGCAGTTGTTGTAAACGAGTTTCATAAACTCGAACAAATGTTTGATTGTTTTCTACTACATTAAACTTACCGGCATTCGTCCTCAAATAGGCCTAACCTACCTAGGCCCCTAGCATTGAAAATGATTGAACATAGGCCTATATTGACTGCACTTTAGTTTACGTCCTACACTCACTCGAATGAATATATCGATCGATTTATCGACTATTTCATTCAATATAGCCTATCTAGTTTTGTTGGTTAAGTTAACCTAGAACCTAACTAAACGAATGAAATATTCTAAATATCGAATAGCCTAGTCTATAACTTGTAACTTATCGACATTTTTCATTTGAACTTGTTAACATCAAAACTGTCTGATTATTTTGTTTATTAACGCTGTAGGCCTATATGTGTATAAAACGTTGCATTAAAGGCTCAAGCAATCCCCTTGGGTAGAACAAGCTCACATAATGTAGGTAGTTAGGCTAGTTTTCATTTTGTATTTTACAGGCTACCTATAGCTTACTTTTTTCCACAAGTATTTTAACTTATGCTAAATGAATGAATAAAAGATAAGAAAGACTAAGCTAAAGCTGTCTGCTTAAATAATAAATGTAACTTGCCTAATCTTTTTTTAATTAGGTTTAGGTTACCTAGTAATTTATTTTTAATGCTCGATCTGTTGTTTAGGACTATCAATTGGGAGAAATCGATGAATACTCCAATGAAGATGACAGCTCAGATGATGAAGGGTTAGAGTTTGAAGATGACAGTGAACAAGAAAACGAAGAAGAAGAAGAATCGTCAGTCGAAGATGAAGAAGAGGAGGAATCAGGTTCTGAAGATGAACACAGTGATGCAGAAAGCGATTCTGGAGCGGCTGTTAGTGATGAGCTTGAATGGGAATCTGATAATGATGAAAACAACAAGAGTGAGAAAGATTCAAAGAACAAA